CAGGGGTTTGCGCTGCTCCTCCGCCACCTGCCAGAGGGGAAACGCCCCGGTTTGGGCTCTGCACCCCCCGGGAGGGGCACCGGGCGCCCGGGGCAGCCCCCCCGCAGCCCCAGCTCACCTTCTCGGGGCTGAGGAGCAGCGGCTCCCTGGGCTGCTGGAACAGCCTCGCCCCGGCCCAGAGGAGGAGGAGGATGTAGGGCAGGTTGAGCAGGAAGGAGGGGCTGAGCTCGGAGCTGTATTTCCCTGGGGGAGGAGGGCGCGGGATGGACACGGAGGAAGCGCCGGCGCCTCCCTCCTGTGCCCGCGGGGAGCAGCAAACCCGCCGGACACGGGCGGTGGGGACGGAGCCCCCTCCTCCCCCCCGTACCGATCATGTTCCCCAGCAGGAAGACCACGACGCTCATCAGCAGCGAGCCCAGCCAGAAGAGCCCCAGGTTCCTGTAGTTCTTCCTGCAGAGACACCGGGAACGGGCACCTCGGAGCTCCCTCCCCATGGAATTTGGGATGCTCCAACCCCCCGGAGCTCCTCTGGCACCTCTGCCAGGCTCAGAGCTCCCTCCTCATGGAGTTTGGGATGCTCCAAGCCCCCCGAATCCCTCTGGCCCCGGGGTCCCCGCTCACCTGTGGCCGATGGCCATGACCATGGTGAGGTAGAGCCCGTAGTGGACGACGCCATCCCAGTAACAGATCATGATCCCATGGGCCGTGCGCAGGTAGGGCTCGCCCTGCCCGTGGGGAGGGGCTGGGTCAGGCAGGGAGGGGGCAGCTGCCTTCCCACCCCCTCCTCAGGGCACCCCACGGGAGCTGGGGCTGCTCCGGGTGGGATCCCGGTTTATGATCCTGGTATGTGATCCCGGTGTGTGATCCCAGTGTGTGATCCTGGTGTGTGATCCCAGTGTGTGATCCCGGTGTGTGATCCCGGTGTGTGATCCCTGTGTGTGATCCCTGTGTGTGATCCTGGTCTGTGATCTCTGTGTGTGATCCCGGTGTGTGATCCCAGTGTGTGATCCCGGTGTATGATCCTGGTGTGTGATCCCAGTGTGTGATCCCAGTGTGTGATCCCGGTGTGTGATCCTGGTGTGTGATCCCGGTGTGTGATCCTGGTGTGTGATCCCGGTGTGTGATCCTGGTGTGTGATCCCGGTGTGTGATCCTGGTGTGTGATCCCAGTCTGTGATCCCTGTGTGTGATCCCTGTGTGATCCCTGTGTGTGATCCCGGTGTGTGATCCTGGTGTGTGATCCCTGTGTGTGATCCCGGTGTGTGATCCCAGTGTGTGATCCCGGTGTGTGATCCCGGTGTGTGATCCCGGTGTGTGATCCCAGTGTGTGATCCTGGTCTGTGATCTCTGTGTGTGATCCCGGTGTGTGATCCCTGTGTGTGATCCC